TAGTGAAGCTTGCCGACGAACTAAGCGACGATGCTGTTTTTTAACTTATTTCAACCGTTATTACTTCCAATATTTATTATGCAAGATCCTCATAGTAAACTTTTATAAAATTTCATCTAGTTGTTGTAAAGAAATCGACTAAGAAACTTGAACCACATACATAATGAGGAAAGTCACACGTACAGTACCCCTATTCTGTTTTGATGCATATAACAAAACGCATGTATACCAGATTCTGAAACGCCATTCATGACGAGACGAGTCGGGTCTAGCAGACGTACCGATGCCGAAGCCTGTGTGATTCCTTATGACCGACACGTCTGATATTATCAGTTTCTTTCCATCAATACATAATCGGTTTGGTTCAAGAATCGCCATGTTCCCTGCCGCTTTTCAGCCATCTGGAAAACTCTCTTCATGATGTGGAGGTAATTCCTGTCAGCGCCAGTAGCGAAGTGACCGTCAGGTTCATTTCTCTCCTCTTTACCGTATTTTGTGATAGTCACCACCGTTTCGTCCGTTCTTCTCTTCGGACAATCCTACATATGGTCTTCATCTCCACTGCGCTTGCCGTTCCTGTAGAATCGCTTCTTTTCTTCATCTTTACTCTACTGAGGATTAAATTACTTTTATTGTTCTTCTTTTGTCCATAGGTAGAAGTAAAATTGCCGTGCGATGTGATACGATGCCACGCTTCGTTAGAGATGATACAGCCTTCCTTTCTATTGTGAACCCGATGCTGTCGATTCGAGCTCGGTTCTCAAACGTTTTTCCGAGAAGCACCTGATCACCGTTGTTCCACTGTTTAAGAAGTTCGGTAAATTTTTGGGGTATCGCATAATCCAACGACTTCCGCCTTGATTTTCTCAATTTCATAATAGTGTTCTTCTATTACGACTGGCCACAGTAATCTTGATGACGTTCGGCGTTTGCTTGCTGTTTACCGAGTTTTAGGTATTGTTCAGACCAATGCGGTAACCTGCACCTATTTTCACTGTTTCTGTTTATCTCTGAGTGTTTTTTCGTTAATAATTGGTCGACTGTTCTTCCGGAACTTCAATCTTCGTGGACTCTTTCTAACGTCTCCCTAGCCGTCCTTTTACCCCACGGTTTCAGGACAGTGAAGCGCTTTGTGAGGATTTGGTATCGGAAAGACATCTCTAACTAATGGCAGGCAGCATCACCGCCTTACCCTACTGGAGTGGGCTCAAGCACCACTTCCAGGCCCTCACTAGTGAGAGGATGATTAATCTGAATATGTTTATTCTTTCTTCTTTTTTCTGGCATGTTCTCTTTAATAGAAGACCGCTAATTGAGTCAACCTCCTTCGCATTTTTCTGTCGTTGGTTAGATCTTCAGTGACTCGTCGTAGTTTCATGTCGTTCTTGACAATATCTTCTCACGTTTTCTTTAGTCTTCCTTTTCTTTTCACCCCTGACGGTATCAGTCCTTGGACCACATCTCTAACATACTTGATGGGGCTCCCTTTCAAGTAACCATACCAACTGAGCCTACATTTGATAAGCTATTCTGAAATTGGTGCTAACTCTAGAGCCTTTATTGAGCTGTTTCGGATGTGGTTCTTTCTGCTGACACCATATCTCCATATGAGCATTCGCATTTCTGCAATGATCAGCTGTTGCTCGTATCTCTTCTGAGTAGCCAAACATCCTGCTCCGTACAGAAGCACCGGCATTACTGTCGTTCTGTACACCTTCCCTTTCAGTTTGATGGGCATTTTCTTGCCGCACAGTACGCGGTTCACTTCTCTCCATTTGAGCCATGCTTCTTTCGACCGATTTCTTGTCTCGATGTCGATTTCCGCTCATCTTGCAGGATGGAACAAAGATAGTTGATTTCTTGCGTTTTAGACAGGTGGTTCTCCGCTACTATCACTGATTTTACGGCTTTCAATTCGTTTTTTCCACTGAAATAGTCACTCACATATTCTGGCTTGCCTTTGTTGAGTCGAAGGCCGTTCTTCTCAAGAGCTGTTCTCCATGCCTCAATTTTTGATTCCACAGTTTCTCTGCTTTCACCGCAAACAACAGTGTCAGAGCATACAGTATGAGGCTGCTTCCTGCAGATCCTAACTTATCGCGTCATTGCCATCGAGAACGGAAATGGGCTCATTGCGGATCCTTGGAGAACTCTATTCCTTTCAGGGAACTCTTCCGGTTCGCCGCATATGCTTCGGACTATCGCTGTCACTCTGTCGTACACGTCTTTGGCATGCCTGGCATATTTTTCTGGCAGCAGCTTCTTTCTCATGGTCCACCAGATAGCCTGCCTCAGGATTCGGTCAAAAACTTTCTCAGATGACATCAGTGGTTGAATGGCTTGGCATAAAGCCGAAATGATTGGTGGTAATGTCCACCTCCTTCCTCAGTTTTTCGTCCAGCACCCTCGCATATACCTTCTCGGTGTGACTAAGTAGTTTAATTCCCCTGTAGTTTCTACAGGCGAGCACGTTCCTTTTCATTTTCCATATTGGCATCAAACTACTGCCTCCGTGAACCCGGCATTTTCTATCATTCCACAATTTTGGTGAGTAGAGCGCAAAGCCAAACTACGATTTCTATGTTTCCATGGAAACTCCGTCCGGCCCAAGGAACCTTTTGTTTTCATTCGTCTCAGGGTATGTTTCACTTCATCGGATGAGATCCTTACCACTTGAACCTGGTATCTTCCACGGCAGCTCCGGGATGTTCTTCGTTTAGCAGCGTTTGGATGTTCCTTCGTCATCGGTCTCCATCGGTGGCGAATTTCTTTTTCATCGCTTAGCACCATCCCGCTTTCTTCCTTTATGCACTTCACATTTCCAACGTCTCTAGTTCTTCTTTCTCTGGCCTTTGCTATGCGGAAAATGTCTTTCTCCCCTTCCTTTATTGCCAATTTTTAGCATAAGCTTATACACGCCATAGACCTTGCTTCAGCGACGACTTTTTTAGCATCCCACTTCGATATGGTATATTTTACTCTTTCTTCCACCCTGTTTCATAGCTGCTATTTTTGGAACAGGTCTTTCTGCTGTCGTAAGGCGCCTGAAAGTCCTCATTCCACCACAACGTTTCTTTCTGGATATGTGCTGTGCCTTTTGTTTCTCTGACTTGGTCGCTGGCATTTCGTATGATTATGCTGACCATCCACTTCTACGCTTTGTCCACTTTCCTATTCCAATTTTCCTTCGACGTTTTTCTCGTAACTTACATTTGGAACGCTTCTTTCAGCTTCCCTTCGAGCTTCCACCACTGTATCTTCAGGGCTATCGCCGTTCCGACCGTCTAAATAGAGAAAGAGGTCTAATACCAACAGCTGGTGATGGTTTGTGAATGTTTCTTCAGGGATAACCTTGTAATCTCTGACAGTCTTCATTTTATTCCTTCGGATCAGTAAATAGCCGATGCTGGATTTTCATTTATCTGCTCTTGTAAGTTTGCAGTTGGTTTTACGTGTTCTGGAAGAACGTGTTATCAGAGCTACACCATGACAACTGACATCTGCAAGATGTTCATCCCTTCTTCATTCAACATGCCTTATCCACGACCGCCAC